CACACACTCACTCACTCTCTCACCCACACACACACACTCACTCACTCACTCTCTCACCCACACACACACTCTCACTCTCTCTCTCTCTCACACACACGGACACACACAGACACACACTCACTCACACAGGGAATGGGGAGACTCTCTGGGTGGCCACATGCAAAGAACTGGAGAGGCCTGTAAATAAGCTAAATAAGTTAAGATCCTCCCGAAAGAGGATCATTAGCTGGAGACAGATCCAAACAGCAGGACCTCAATGTACAGGAAGTGTGAGTCAGCCCTCACACTAACTCGCTGCCTTTATTCTTATTGTGTTCCTGGTGAAATCACTTTGCTCACACACTGTGCTATATTTGAAAGTCGCTTTTCCTGACCCAAGGCCGAGTGTAATCACATATTCACAGCGGGATCCGGTTCAGCTGGCGATGCTCGCGAGGGGATCGGAGGATTAACCCGCTCAGTGCCAGGAGGCGAGATACCGTGACAGAGAGGGTGGCTCTCCCAGGACGAGCCTTCGCAGAGAATCTTCATCATCATCATCATCCTCACCATCAGAAGAAGATCTGGGGGTCATCGCTGGGTCGTGATTGCGAGCAGAGCTTGGAGGATCGTCGGTCGAGCTGAGCTGCAATTGGTGGATCCTTCTGCTGGCACCGGCCTAACGCCCAATCCAGTGGAGCCATGGCATCTGCCAGTGCCCACGGCCCAATCTGTAATCCAGTCGTGGTGACTGTGCAGGAGGCGCAGGGAAACGAGGAAAATCCCAATTTGACCGGATCTTCTTCGTGAGGAGCATCCTCCTGGATCGCTGATATTGTCTGTCTACAGGATATCACCCCTCCCCCCACCCCCACACCCCACCCCAGCCAGGGGTGGGGGGGCTACTTCAGGAGGGTGAAGCAATGTGAGCGTCTCATCTCACCAGGAAATGTCCCGATCTTTCCTGGGGAGGCGCCGATGCAGTGGGAAGCCGCCGACGCAGTGGGAAGCCCCCCCCCATTTTGGAATGGGGACCGGTAAGCGGGCCCTGAAGGTGGACACCAGTGGGAACATCCTCCGCCCAGCCTCGGGCTTGGCGTTCGGAGGGAGCGGAGGTTTCCTGACGGAGGACACGGAGAGTCCTGAAGCTGTGGCAGGGGGGATTGGAAACAGGGTGCATGGCAGCGGTCTGCAAACTGGAGGGACAGAAGGGTCTAGGCCCGAAACGTCAGCCTTCCTGCTCCTCTGATGCTGCTTGGCCTGCTATGTTCATCCAGCTCTGCACCATGTTATCTCTGCCCCTAAGGATGGACAGGAGCCCAGGAGTTGTAACGTGAGTGAGAGAGAGCGAGTGAGAGAGCGAAGCAGGCCAAGGGGAGGTGATGGTATTAATCGCTGGACTGTTACTCCAGAGACCCAGATAACGATCTGGGTTCAAATCCCGCCACGGCAGATGATGGAATTTGAATCCAATAAATATCTGGAATTAAGAGTCAAATGATGACCGTGAATCCATCGCTGGAAAAAAACCCATCTGGTTCACTCATGTCCTTTAGGGAAGAAAACTGCCATCCTCATCTGGTCTGGGCCTACATGTGACTCCCCAGACCTGCAGCCAATGTGGTTGACTCTGAACTGCCCCCTGGGGCAATTAGGGATTTTTAAAATTTTTTCTTCTTTATTCATTCACAGGATGAGGGACCTCGCTGGCTAGGCCCTAACTGGATGGGCAATAAATGCTGGGCCTGGACAGTGACTCTCTCATCCCAGTGAACGAATAAAGAATTTTTACAAGGCCTGTCCAAGACACTTGGGTAGTGGTGGGGGGCAGGGGGGGAGGGTGCAAATGGCACATACGCTCAGATGGCCAGAAGTGGGCAACATGAGCCGTGGACCCCCCAACATATAGTAGGGCGTCAACTCCAGTGAGAGAACTGAAACGAGGGGGCACCCGGGAGGAGGAACAGGCCAAGGAGAGAAAATTAACTGGCACAAAGGCATAAGCACCTGTCCCAACCTCCAAATGAACAGCAGGAAGCAAAAGGAGGTGGGAGCAGTGGATACTGGTGCGAAATAACCGGACAAGAAAAACATGAGAAGGATCCCCACGCCCCCCAGCCCACAGCAAAAGGAGCAGGTGCAGGGTGTATACAACAACAACTCCCCACCAACAACATGTGGATGGAGGGCCATCAGCAGAAAAAGGAAAGAGGCAGAGCAACAGAGAGGGGGGTGGCGGAGGAAGGAGAGTAGCACCCACCGCTTTCCCGCCCTCCAACCCAAACCCTCCCTGGAAACACCGGAAGTCACGAGAGGCCCCGGTGAAGCCTCAATTCATCAGGGACCAAGGGCCGGCCGCCGTACCAACGCTCCGGACAACAGTGGAGTGTTGGTGGGGGTGGGGGTGGGGGTGGGGGGTAGGGGTAGTAGTGACGATCCAAATCGGGAATGGAGCACGGATTCCAGAACCGGAACTTCCCAGCTTCATTCTCGTGCTGACGGTACCGGGTCAGGGCAATACCCACCCCCTCCCCTTGTTGGCGGGGCGTGGGAGAAACAGGGCGGCTACCTCAATGCACTGAGTGTCCGACAGATCGCCCGCACCACAGGGACATAGGGAGTCCCCCCAGTGGCACAATTATGGGTGAGCCAGACGATGGGAAATCCTATAAACTCTCGAAATGGGTTTAGAAATCGCTAATATTAATGTGCATTGTACATATGTTGAACAACACTTGGAGGAAGCCCCACAGAGTCACAAGGGCACAAAATGTACTCTGGGTGGGGGATTTCAATGTCCACCACCAAGAGTGGCTCGGCAGCAGTACTGTGATCGAGCTGGTCAGTGCCTAAAGGACATATCTGCTAGACTGGGTCTGCGGCAGGTGGTGAGGGAACCAACAAGAGGGAAAACTATACGTGACCTCATCCTTAACAATCTGCCGGCTGCAGACCCATCTGTCCCTGACAGTATCAGTAAGAGTGACCATTGCACAGTCCTTATGGAGATGA